CTTGAACAACCTTGCGAATAATATACACCGTTACACGTGTTTTTCTACATTTTCTTATGTCACGTAATGCATAAATATTTGCAGACTAGTTATTATATAACCACATTTGTTGACGACACCTACACAAATTCTGACGTCAACTCTGTAAAATATGTACAAGTGGGAATGAAAGAAAAACCAACGAGATGTGATATTTCAAACGAAATGATGTAATAAAAATGTAGTTTTTCGAACGGAGTGAAATAAGAATTTTTTTATTATATTTTTTAATTACTTGTGCACGTGTCTTTTAATATATTTAAGTATTCAAAATTATATTCATTAACTAGTTTCATTTCTGAGGTATTTAATATTAGTGTTTTGTGTTATTTATGTTATGCATGAAGCTGAAACTAGGAAGTGTTCCAATGTATTTCGTGTTTGTGGACGAGAGTGTCATGATGACAGAAATATTATTTTACATCTTTCTGATATTATTGTTCAATTTTCGTCACGTTAATACATTGTCAATTTTCATCATATCACTGTTACAAGATTTTTTTACTCAAACTAGAATTCTTCATATTTTCCTACTAACAAAATTTATATCAAATAAAAGCTAATTTTTGTAATATTACTATTGCAAAATTTTTTGACTCACACTACAATTCTTCAAGTCTAACTTTTGTTAAGGAAATTCACCCCAAATAAAAGTTTAATATCATCACATTACAATTGCAAAATTTTTTTACTCAAACTAGAATTCTTCATATTTTCCTATTAACGAAATTCATATTAAATAAATGCTAAATTTTATCACATTACTATTGCAAAATTTTTTGACTCGCACTACAATTCTTCACGTCTAACTTTTGTTAAGAAAATCCACCCTAAATAAAAGTTTAATATCATCACATTACAATTGCAAAATTTTTTTACTCAAACTAGAATTCTTCACATTTTCTCATTAAAGAAATTTATATCAAATAAAGATTTAATTTTATCATATTACTGCAATAAAATTTTGTTACTCAGAGTAGAATTCTTCATATTTTCTCATTAATGAAATTTACGTGAAATAAAAGTTTAATAAATATATTGTATACGTTGAAATAACTATTGCTTCTCAGAATAATATCTGGCTTACCAAAGTTTACATACTGTTTCTAGTATCAGTTTCGTACGTTTACATTCTCTTTAACTTTCTTCGGTTCATAGTCTATCAATTTCAAAGCAGGTCACTTCACCCCCGTATCGAAATCGCACATGTCACCCTGTTGCGTCTAAATCTATAGCTTACACGTTTGCTTCGCGATCCATTTTCAAGCAAACGTGTTCATTCACTTTAGTTCGGTCGATCAAAACTTTTATTGCGATAAAACTGTTTTTTTAATTCCTGTTCAAATTTCTAGTAATCAATTTTTTATTAAAATGTGATAGGTTTGTAATTTGTCATAAAAGTGTTATATCAAACAGATGCTAAAATACAGTTAGTAATTTCATTTACAGTAAATCTATTACTTAGTATATTCATCTGGTATATTATTTCTATAATAAGTATCTTTTTTAACAAATTAAATATTCGTATTAATAGTAGCATACTAATAATAAAGTTTGTCATAATTTTATTAAGAACAAAGGGGACATTCACAGAACATAGCATATGTTCACATATGATTGTCATATGACAACTGAAATCTTACTTATAAATAAACTTTCTCATTCATAAATAAATTACCTCATTTAAAAATAAAAATAAATGGATTCAAAAATAATTTTTTCAAGTTGTAAAAATATTGTAAACTTCATGTAAAGTATCAAGGTACAAAATTTCTAGATCCCCACGATAATAGAAATAATATTAGGTTATCAAACAGCGAATTCCGAAAAGTAAAAGCATTGCAAAATATCACTTACGGAATATTAATAGATAACCTGACATTTTGATGGCTGTGTATTTTACAGAACTTACGACTCCCGCAATTTTCTATAATAAAATCGTGTTTTTATTATATGCCTAACGTGAGGTTCCGTAAAAATCCAACGGAGAATGTAACGCACACAGCGAAATTAATTGCAAGTTGCTAGTATTAAAATCCGCGTAAAAACGATAGACATCGAAATCACTAAATCACAGTAATTCAAATGCACTAATGGTTAAAATTGTGAAACTAGCCATCAAAATGTAAATGCCATTTTGATTCGTGCCATTTTCATTTCAGTGTCGTTAAACGGTGTTAAATGTTTTAGTCAATTTTTATTCCGTGTTAAATAAAGCGACGTATTAAGGAAAATAATTTCTTTTCTACTCACCGATTTCTCTGTTGAACAAGAACGATGTTCGCCCCGGTTCTTCGCTCTTCGAGAACGACTCCCATCAATTTTCTTCGATCACTCGCGAGAATTTCGCCCGAATCGTTCTATTCATTTCCTCACACGATCGACAAATTGTAATTCGCAGTCTGTGCCAGGTATCGAGCAGCGATTTTTTATTTTAATTGGGAGAGCTCGAGGAATCGATCAGACACTTTGTTTCAAACGCTCCGACAGTAATTGCTTAGCCAATCTTTTAATTTACAAATCATCGGATTTCCACATTTCACCAATTTTTTTAGTTTAAGTCTATACATTCTTTTTGTGATCAAGGAATGAAATTTCCTAAATCATTTTTGAATACCTTAAATTTTCAAGAATCATTCAATGTCTTTTGACTTCAAGCTTCTTAAGTTTTTAGATTGTCAAATTTTCAAGAATCATTCAAGTCCTTCACTCCTTCAACTTCAAGCTTCTCGAGATTCTAGATTGTCAAATTTTCAAGACATCAAATATTCAAATCCCTGCATCCCAAAGTTTCAAATCTTCCAAGCTCTTCAACTTCTCGAATCTCAAGATTCTGAATTCTCAAACTTCTAGATCACTAAACCATACCCTTAAATCTCTACTTCCCAAAATACAAATATTCTCAAATTTCCAAATCACTAAATCCTCAATCCTCAAACCCTGAATTCCACAAATTCCTAAATTCCAAATGTCCGAATCTCCTATGTTCCTTGAATCCTCAAATCCCTAAATCCTCAACTTTCCAAATCCTCAATTCGCCAAACCCTCAAACCTTAAATTCCACAAATTCCAAAATTCTCAAATTTCCAAATCTCTTACGTTTCCCAAATCCTCAAATCCCCAAACCCTTAGCTTTCCAAATCCTTAAACCCTTAAATCCTCAATTCTCCAAATCCTTAGCTCTTTAAATTCTCAAATCCCCAAATCCTTAGCTCTCCAAATCCTCAAACCCTTAAATCCTCAATTTTCCAAATCCTTAGCTCTTTAAATTCTCAAATCCCCAAATCCTTAGCTCTCCAAATCCTCAAACCCCCAAACCCTCAACTCCTAAATTCCACAAATTCCAAAATTCTCAAATTTCCAAATCTCTTACGTTTCCCAAAGCCTCAAATCCCCAAACCCTTAGCTCTCCAAATCCTCAATTCTCCAAATCCTTAGCTCTCCAAATCCTCAAATCCCCAAATCCTCAACTCTCCAAATCCTCAAACCCCCAATCCTCAATTCCCCAAACCCTCAACTCCTAAATTCCGCAAATTCCAAAATTCTCAAATTTCCAAATCTCCCACGTCTCCCAAATCCTCAACTCTCCAAATCCTCATCTTTCCAAATCCTCAACTCCTAAATTCCACAAATTCCAAAATTCTCAAATTTCCAAATCTCCCACGTCTCCCAAATCCTCAAATCCCTAAATATTCCCTGACCCTCCAAAAGCACCGCAAAAGACAACATCAAAGTATACCTACAACGACGCACGGATGAGCAGTTAATTAATCGATGGGTCCGAAAGTAATCGCGTCGAGTCGCGAATAATCTCGCGTGCAACAGTTGAAGGTATCGGGCAGGTCGAGGCGGGCTAATTGCGGTAATAGTTGCAGAAAAGTGGCCGGCTATGTGTGTACACAAGCGTTGGGAGCGTGTTATTACGTCGAGTAAGAAATTAGCTTTTGATCGCGGCCAACGAGCCGGAGACACGGAACCAGGTATCAACCGGTAATTACAGAAGCTGCGAATTGGGATTGCAATTTGTCCGTCCTGCTATCGGACAACCTTCTCTCTATTCTGTCCAATGGGATTTCTCCTCAATGTATTTTTCGTCAACTTAATTGTCTGTGTTTCGAATTAATTAAACTTGTCTGGACTCTTTTTGGATGATATACTGTTTTAAATATGAAGATATGTGATAGAAGACTTTTAATAATTATTATAAAATAATATGTAGCTATTGTGTTATAATTAAATGTAATATTATAATGAAGGTGTATGATCATTGTTACATACACTTTTACTATTTAATAATTTTTATATTATCTTATTATCATATAATGATTGCATGATTTATAGTTTATATTTAATAAACTAAAAATAGTAAAAGTACATAATAATTATACAATAATAACACAAAGTGCACAAATATATCTCCAGTTCATATTTAAAATATGTAAATAATTTGATAGACAATCCGAAAATATTTACCTCATTTCTATGTAAAAATTTAATGATATATTATAAGGAAAAATACTCTGTTAGCAAGTCTAAATATGTTCCATGTAAACGATAATACAAAGACATTCTTTCTTGTCAAGTATTTCCTGTCCAATGGGAGATATTCATTCCGTCAGGTTATTCAAATGTTATCTCTGTTTAAAATATTAAATCTATTTAAAGCTACCCAAGGTTTCCGAGTTCTTTTCAAACGTTGAAATAGTTTAAGTATGCAATTATGTAAACATTAAGTCGAGAAGTAATTTACCAGTGGTTATCAGACCACAAAGTTTATGCTGCACACTATTTTTTTTTAACTAGCAAACAATTACAACTTTGATAATATAAGAAAGAATTTATTGATGATGTAAGAAAGAATTTTATTTTAGAAATAAAAAAGAATTCTATTTTGAAAATACTGAGCAGATAAATGCACTTATACAACCAAAGAATAATTTAATATTATTCCCCCAATAAATCAGAAATATCAAAAATAACTTCAACAATGTTCGAACATCGCTGTCACTTTTACGAAATTAATTTTGATATTAATAATCACGTACTTTCCCGGCAACCCCTATTTACAAAAATAAATCAGCTCGAATTTACGAAGATAAATCGCGTTCGAATTTACAAAAATAAATCGCGTAAATATAAACTCGGAAATTTTTAAAGCTACTCCGTCGATCTATTTATCATTTACGGCCTTTAATGGCGGATTCGTGAATTTTCTGCGCGAAAGGGTAGAGGGACGAGAAAAATGGGTCGAAAGGCTTGAAAACGGATATTCAGAGGTGCGAAAGAGGGGTAGAAGTTTCGTGGCGAGCCGATAATTCGCGTTTCAGCGACGCTTCGAGCGGAAGGGAAAGGATGGGCCTGAAATGACCCTCAAACTGGTACAACTGGAACGAGAAGTTAAATACTGAACGCGTTCGTTGCCACCCTCTGACTGCTCGAATATCGATGAACCGGCTGTTGCGTTAATTTGTTAAATTTAAGACCACACTTTGAAAACATCTACCAAATTGTTCTACCAACTTCTTAATTTCTCACTAATTTTTTATGACGTTCAACACTAAATTCTATCAGCTTCAAAAAAGTTCGACTTCCACGTCGTTAAACTTTTTTACAATGGAAAGATTTTTCTATATTTCTTTATCGTACAAAAACTCGAGATGCTGACATTAAATGCTGCATTCAGAAAGTAGGTAGATTTGTATCGATTCTGAAACGTACAACTATACTGTCTCTCAACTTCAGCTATTAAATGCTAAATACAGTAATTCAGTATGAAGCAGGATTTCATCACATTTCAAACTCTGAGCAGCTAATGAAACATTATATAAATGAATCTATTTGAATTAACTTCTCTACATCTTCCATAAAGCACAAATTCGAAACACAAATCACTTGAAAATGAAACTCCACGACGGAAGAACCAATGAGTAAAATTTCTGAAGCGAACGATTAAATTTTTCACAGCAGTCTATTAGTCTCCGGTAGAAAAAGGAACGTTCGTAGAAAATTAAAATGAAAAGGACGAAGCGTTCACATTTTCGTCGAAATGGAGCAAGGCAATCGATCGAACGAGACCGAACGAAAGAACGTCTCTGTTTTTAATATAAACCACAAACATCACGATTCCTGGACTCTTTTTATCAATTCCTTCGGTTATGGTGAACACTTCGTTCCGCAATATCGGCTTTAAAAGCTGGCCCCATTGTGAAGCACGTAGCAACAGCGTTTCGATGCCATTCGTGGACCAATCGCTAGAGTGGGCGAGAAAAATGCATTGCAAAGGAGAATTCGTTGGATCTATACTCGCGGTGCTTTTGGAAGTAAGAAAGCTCGGGAAATCACGAACCGTTTACCGAAGGTGGACGACAGAATTTGCAGAAAATTCCGTGCTCGGTAATTAACTGCAGCGATACGTAACAGCGGGGAAAAAACGATATCGACGGGAATCGATAATTTCAATTACAACCGGAGGAACAATTAAGAAGCACCGGAAACGACGTTACGCGAGGATCGAAATTTTGCCTGGTTTTATTGATCGATAAACCTATATGCGTCTATCGAATGATTTACCCATAAAAAGTTGCACTCGCGCAGGTCACAAGTTTAAGAACAAGAACATTGTAGCGTCGACGATCGTAGAAATTCAAATTCGATTTACATAATGCCTGGAATCGTCGCCACTTGCCCCCGGGAGAAAAGTCAACAAGTTACACGCTCGGGATGGCTGCGCGAAAACCTATCAAGGATTCACGGTGCGGGAACGAGAAGATTGGCGTTGTTTTTTCATGGAAACGCCTCGGAAATTTCAACGTGTCCAGTCAACAAGTTAGCCCGGACAAAGGAGACCGGAAAGACGAGCGTGTCGGCTACCGGATCCGAGGATTCATCATGGAACCGATCGAGTTTGCTGAAACTCTCCGTTCAAGTTGCAAGATTAATCGCAGGAACACGGTCATCTCGCGCACACCAGTGTCTGGAGCAGCTGATTGCCAGCGCAACTTTGACAGTTCCGGGGTCAGTCCATTCAACCTGGAGGTTCGTCGAGCGTGCAGCCGAGGAAATTGGCCCGAGCGGATCGATCAGATGGCACTTGATCGATCAGCCGGTCTGCACAAGGTTCCCGAGGATCTCGATACCCGGCAACGATCCATTTGTGACGGAGTTTCTGGTGCCACGGAGGAGTTCTGGTGGTCCTCGTGTCCTGTTCTCAGGTGTCAACCCCCGGAGCGCACGTTTCGTTTCCACACGGACAAAGAAGAGGAGCGTCAGCGCGAGACGAGTGCGACACACACGCGTCCTTTGAAAGAGAAGAGTGCGAGGTACGCGGACGACACGTACTCGTCGAGTGCTGCTGACCCAGCCAGCAGACTACTCCGGATAGCACGGAAGGGAGACCTCGGTGGGATGGCAGTTTAAATGCAACTATGCTTCCTCAGGTTTGGGTTGAGCGCGCAGGGTCCGAGTCGGCCCTGCTCGGTCGTGCTCGGCCGCTCTCGGATCTCGTCGATATGCCCATAGACACAGTGTATATGTCTATGGATATGCCGCCGTGTCGTGCCATGCTCTCTCGTTCGTGTCCTACTCCTCTAGCCTCGTGTAACTGGCCCATATATTCCTGTCCTCGTTCGTCCACCTATGGATCTATCGGACCGTCCTTCTTCCTGTACCTGGCCAGGTCTCTCCTTACCCACCTTTTCTCTCTCCTTACAATCTTTTGCTCTCCTTCTTCCTGCTGGCCTGTTCCTTTCTTACAACGACCCATTCCGCTCCCACAACGCGACGCATCGAGACTCCCTGTTGCAATTAGTGTTGGTCATCGCTCGAGTGTGCTGGTGAACGATACAGGTACGCGTCGGCGCTCGCGAGCAACGTCTGCGAGGGTGTAGGTGGGTGGTCGGGCAGAAAAGGAGGGAGCAGTTGGCGTGGAGAGGGCAAGGAACAGTAGTGGGGTAGTCGGGAGTGGGGGATGTTTGAGGGGGGAGAACTTGCGACAGAGACGGTCATATGGCGCCCGAGTCGGAACGGGGATGTCTTATGTCATTTTTCTTCCCGATAGTATAACGGGTGTCCCGAACGACCACGACCTTAACCCACTTCGACTCGATTTTCTTGAAATTTTTATTATTTTCGTAGCTGCCAGAGATACGGCTTTAAAGGATGACCTCGTTCGGCATGGAATTTACTGCGTTTTTGTTTTATCGCGATTCTTCTGTCGTTCGGAAACTGTAATTTTTCGGTTTATCGACGTGACGCGATGTATTTTTGGACGTTGATCAGAGAAACGACGGTACAGATTGGATGTTTGGGAAATTGAGTTCCACGGTACTTCGTTCTTTTTTCGAGAGCTTCTGATTTATCTGAAAATCCGAGGTTATCGTATTAAGACAAGTATTGAAAGGTATGTCTTTAGTAAGGAGCACGTATGAACACACACGTTGAAAACGTATAAACCAATATACGTACAGAAGCGAGTAGAATTCGTAATGGCGTATAATTTAGAATGAGTCGATTCCTACACATACTTGTACAAAAGGTCTACAATATGTGCATTACTGTGTAGATACGAGCAAGTAGCATGAAATGTATGCAAGGTGTGTACAAGAAGCAATTAACTTCTTGTAACAAATCTTGTAGATACAAATAGATTATTCTTGCAAAGTCATTACTTGAAATACAGCGATCCTATTTTATAAAATTTTTCGTTCCATAAAATAACATTTATTTCGATGCATGAAATATTCAGGCTATGCAAAGAGAAAAATTATTTGATCGAAATTATGCGTAACTTCCACAGCCCGGAATGTGTAAATGTATCACCCTGGCTGGAAACACGAAACAAGTATCAAGACAATTAATTTGATGCGGTTTCGTGTTAATATTTTATTCGCAAGCTTTCGAATCAATAATGTTTGCATTCCCTGAAAAGCACGAAAAATAATAAATATTTCGTAGGGGCTTTTTCATAAATGGGGTCGCTACTGAATATATTATGCTGTTCCATTTTTGTTGCGTACATAATGCACCGAACAATACACTCTTCTGGTAATTAAAGTAATTCGTATCAATTTCGAAATGAAAGAGTTTCATAAATTTTCCCGAAATTATTACATTTAACCCTTGTATATTATTCTGTAAAAACGTAGACTAAAATGTACATTTATAATTTCAATTTGTTAAGTACAGTTGACGCAGACAAATATTCATACATTTCAATAAATTGTTTCATACTTTCAATGTAGTCAATGTATAATTGAGAAGATATCTCGCAGAGTTTTATGTTAAAATATGGAAAGCACAAACAGCAGCCACGTCAGAATAATTGAGAGAAACATAACTATTTTCATTACTCGCGATTTAATTAAGAAGTTATTATCATATTACTGCCTAATTATTTATAATTGCTTGTTTTTCATTTTATGATCATTTTTCCCTGTGTGAGAACGTCGTCACACGTTCGTTACTTATTATCATTTATTATTTACTCCTGTTTATAACAAGCTCTTGGTTACAGAAGCAGCAAAACATTCATGTTGTCATTCTTTTGAAATTTTCATAAATAATATTTCTATAAATTATACTTTTGTACGTTGTAAAAACGTGAATTGTTAGGTTAGGTACGCAATTAACCTCACATTTTACAGAAGGCAATTCAAGGATTATATAGGATATATAATTGTTAGAGTATATAAAAATATGTATATAAAAATTTGGGGATATAAAATGTCAAGGTATTATGTGTTAAAGATATTGTTTTAATGAAAAGGTAGAAGGGAATTAATGAGTGACATAATCTTCTGCATTTGGAGTCGAGTGCAGCATTCTGTTGGATTTTAGAAATCGTATAAATAGTTTGGTTGGGCAGATATATTTTTATTCACTGATTTATAATAAATGAAAGATACATTTGTCACATATGCATCACTATTGCAAAATATTTTACTGTTTCATGAAATAAATGAAGTGGGTAGATAAAATTAAAAAATGAAAAGAGGTTCATAACCTCAAAAGTTCCCCAAAATATAATTTCACGAAAGTATGATTGAACGCTTAATTATTCCGAAGAGCAGAAAAAATTGAAATGGAAACAAGTTAACGAGAGGTTATCCATAAATCGTCGACCTACGTAACGTTGGCTCTCATTACGATGATCATTAAAGCATCCAGTTCAGCAAGCATAATGCACAATATCCGTGCGCCTCGGAAACGGCGGCGATTTTGAAACGCGTTACATTATTCATAGCCGGTAATGACACACTTCGAATATCACGCATCGCGTGTACTCGCTAAAACTATCAATTGTTCTCAACTGAAATGTGACTCATTTCAGTCCCGCGCGTATACTCCTCGGATCTCTTTTCTTCTTCTTTCATTCCGTTCGCTTTTTCCCTCTTTCTATACCGCCGTTTCAGCTCTTTGTTCGTCCGCAATGCTCGTAGCCGACGCGGTGGTTCGACGAAAGAAACTTTCGAGAGAAAAGTTATCGTGCTCGTGTCGGATTTTCAAAGTTCGTCCCCCGGAGCGCTAATCGAGCCGGCCGTTTTCTGGATGAAACGGGAAACGGGATCCTTCAGATGCATCATCCTCGAAGATCCGACGGACTCGATTATGATAATAAAATTTAATTGGCCACGGTGTAGCCGGGCCAATCGGGGCCACGGATTTAAACGGTCTCGATTTTCTCTGGGGCTGTTTTTCCTCGGATCTGTTTTATCGCGGATTGCTACGGGAACGTGAAGTGGAACGAGTAAATGTTGGGATATCCAGTTTCATCTATAATAATTATAGTACGTTTCAGACGTGGGCTGACACTCCTCTATTCCTCTTTGATAATATACTTATTTAAAAAATTATTTTCTTTATAAAAATTACTGCCCACGTTGTGGTGATTCTCTTCAGGTGATTATCTTCATGGTGATTATTCAGCTTTTTGGTTTTGAAAAAGTTCCTTTCAAACTTCTACAAGTAACACTGAGAAAATATTATAAAATTTTTGGTTCTTTTCAAGGAAAATGTATTACAAGTTTGTAACATTTTGAGGGACAGGAAATATTCAATAATTAAGAACAAGAAAAGTATTCAACTATTAAGAGCAAGAAAAGTATTCAACTATTACGAGCAAGAAAATTATTGAACTATTAAGAACAAGAAAATTATTCAACAATTAAGAACAAGAAAAGTATTCAACTATTAAGAGCAAGAAAAGTATTCAACTATTACGAGCAAGAAAATTATTGAACTATTAAGAACAAGAAAATTATTCAACAATTAAGAACAAGAAAAGTATTCAACTATTAAGAGCAAGAAAAGTATTCAACTATTACGAGCAAGAAAATTATTGAACTATTAAGAACAAGAAAATTATTCAACAATTAAGAACAAGAAAAGTATTCAACTATTAAGAGCAAGAAAAGTATTCAACTATTACGAGCAAGAAAATTATTGAACTATTAAGAACAAGAAAATTATTCAACAATTAAGAACAAGAAAAGTATTCAACTATTAAGAGCAAGAAAAGTATTCAACTATTACGAGCAAGAAAATTATTGAACTATTAAGAACAAGAAAATTATTCAACAATTAAGAACAAGAAAAGTATTCAACTATTAAGAGCAAGAAAAGTATTCAACTATTACGAGCAAGAAAATTATTGAACTATTAAGAACAAGAAAATTATTCAACAATTAAGAACAAGAAAAGTATTCAACTATTAAGAGCAAGAAAAGTATTCAACTATTACGAGCAAGAAAATTATTCAACAGTTAAGAACAAGAAAATTATTCAACAATTAAGAAAAAAAATGATTCAACAATTAAGAAGAAGAATATTATTCGACAATTAACAAAATTGTATATTTATGTTTGACAAAATATGAGAACTTCAGGTTTTGCAAAATTTTATAATAAAAAATAAATGAACTTATAATGTCACGTCTTTCCACATCAATTTTCTCTCTTCTTGCAGCATTAAGAATTATTTTAATAACTTAATACCGTTTGCTGTTTTAATGCCGCAGTAAGAGATGGTACTCTTAATTCCTAATATAATTGTACAGCAAGTAATATTAAAAATTAGTGCTCTTTTAGTACAATCGTACTGCAAGTAGGATTAAAAATGATCTCCTTTTAATTTTTAATATATAGACTCCGTATCTTGCTGCGAAAAGTAGAATAAAGGGCTTTTAATATTTTCTGGTTCTAGTACATCATAAATCCGCAAGTGCTTTTTACAATATTAAGTTCTATAATACTCTTTGGCTTTGCGATTATGAATTCTGCGTTAAGTCCATTGCCTACGACAAGTTTTGAATTTTTGTGCTTTG